CTACTGGCATTTTACCAAGGGCCGCGTATGCTATTGGGGAACTGAGGCAGTCTGTGGTAGATGAGCGAATAGAACCTGTTTCATGGTCCTTCTGCGCTAGGGACGTAGCAGAATGACAGTGGGACCGCAAACGGTGTTTTAAAGGAGACAACATGGTTGTAATGAGGTGCTGTTACTTCGCTGTGCAGCAAGTTATGGATGGTGGAATGCCGGAAGAACGAAGGAAGGTTTATCCCCGCAGTGGTGCAAGCGAGCAGCGTCTACCAGGCCAAAAACGGCTCAATTAGAAGTACATGCTGCTAACAGATTTGGAGCTGGATGAGATCAGAATAGCACTCGATAATGACACCACTTAGCAACAGGATCAACCAACTCAACATATTAGTAAAATCATCCCGGACAAACTTAGGAGTCCAGAGATCGAAATCACTGATGTGACAAAAGTTAAGTTAGTCTGAACTGCTTGATTAACCTAGAAAACGAATCCTTCTTATCATAGGCAAGAAAGAGTTGGCAAGGTAAAAGTGTCCTGAAACAGGTAATTTGGAATCCATTCACGATGTAATATACTTGACAGCTCTTGTGAGAATAAAGAACCCTTGCATCAAGATGGAAGAAATCACAGAAGAAGTGAAGAGTCGCCATTGTTAAGAAAAATCAATTGCAAACAAAGAAATACGTTCAGAAGTAAGCCAATTACAACAGCTAAACAGAGGCACTGTAAAGAAATCAATGTAAATGCTGACACATTTAGACAAACACGCTTTGCCCACTTTTCGATTTAGTTATCCTACCCGCTATGCTGCTGAGTTTGGGTATGCTTCTAAAGCTGAGGATAACAAACTTGTGGTCACACAAAGAGCAATAGAACGAAACATAAGCAAGGTGTCCCTCCGAGATCACCTTTCCGGCGCGCATGTGGCTCGCCTGAGAGACAACCGATGGACGTCAAGAATTACAAGGTGGTTTTCGCTGGACCCCCAACATGCATTCGTTCGTCCATCAACACGCTACGATGATCCGATGACCAAATGAATTGTTCAGCGATGTAGGCTGAAGGCGGAAAATTGAGACTGTTGGAGGGGCGTCGACTTGCGTTCATGGCACACCCATAACGGTGACTAGTCAGACAATAGGGACCTTGTCTGATTTGAGTCTTACTTTCTACACGTTTAGCCCTGCATTTAATGTATTCAGCCAAATTCGGAATTAGCTTAATTCCACTTATTGTGTGTGGTGACACAAGGCGCACGATGACCGTTTTGAAATCGAAATTGCATCTTCATCACTGTTTAGACCAGTAACAATAGCTTTCAGATTCGTAATGAATTGTCTATCCATGTGCTGGCGTTCTCTATAACGATGAACTCTTTGCACATAAGCATTGGCTACAAAAGGCTTCATCCTCATGAACTTATAGCCTCTCAGACCTCCAAAACTGTAGAAAATTGAAAGTGAATGAACATGTCCGTCTTTTCTGTGATGCCATGGTCTCTAACTGTTTCATAAAACCATAGGCTAGTTATGACGCCTGTTGCTTTTGCCAAGTTTTCTGCATTTCGATATAAGGAGTTGGTCTGTTGCATCGATGAGTGGAAAGTACTACGTTACCAGGATCTGTTTCTGTTCGGTCTTTCTACACATAGGATATAATGAGTTTCTATTTAGACTTTTTTCAGAATTTGTTTGTTTCAGGATCATTTCAACTTTTACGCAGTTGACGACAAATGTGGTGTGCTCGTACTGTCAGTAAGAACGGAGAAGATCTCATCGCAAGATCACTACCGGATCATGTTGAGGTATTTTCAGGCCCGAATCATGTTTTAGCGCATATCTACTGTATTTCTTATTCCAGATCACAGGCAGGCACGATACACGAGATCATCCCCGCTTCCTGTTTAGGAGAAATGCCGACGGCCGCCAGGATAGCTAAGGTACAATATCAGTGACGTTTGATCATAATATAATGTTTGCAAAGTAGAGATGTACAATGCTATAAAACTGTCTGGAAGAGTCAGCTCTAATTATTGCTCGCTAATTCTTACTCGTCAGGTTCCATTTTGGTCGCAATGCATCATCGATATTGCAGCTGGTATCACCGCGTATGAGTCTGTTGCTCCTAAGTACGAAAGTCTGATCATAGTTCATGATGCATATCTGTCGTTTCGTTGGAAATCATAGCTCGGTTGACAACGACAGACAAGCTTTGATATCTTATCCTTACTGTTGTAGTCTTCAAAGATGAACTTGTACTTTCAGTACTTCTTCTTGCTGTACTTTCAGTCTCAGTGATTGTAGTGACCGCAAGGATCACAACCCTGTATTTCACAGTGTATCACATGGCATCAAACATGCTTATGTGCTGAATCTCCTCCAAGTATATTACTTCTTAATATGAAATGGTTACCATTAGTTTTACCGTCTAGCTAAGAAAAACCTGCGTTCGACTTTGAGATGTGAAAGTCCTCCCACAACGTAGAAAACTCTGACCTCCAGTTGCTGAGGCAGTCTAAAGTATGTTTCCTTCGAAAGACCCTGTAGCAATCTCTCCCTCCATAGCATTCGTATTCACCATTATTTAATCCATCACTGTTTAATTTAGAATGATTTGATTAATTTTCCATGAGTTTCTGTCTATTTGAGTTCTGTTTTAGCAACTTTGTGAAGACAT